CCTCCGAAGGGTTGGAGACACTTACAGGAAACGTGCAGGAAGTGAATTGTCAATGGACAGTGTGGATTCTTTCTTCTCGGTGGGACTTCGTGAAATGCCGCGAAAGACTTTCCTGAGGAAGACTAAGACCAAGGATCCACATGTACCCCTTTATGGACCTCCTACGTTTCTTGAACGCTCCTTGTTGTTGTTTTTCACCTTAGGGAAGGAGAGTCTACGGAGGGCCCCACATGCTCCAGCTGAGCTTGGATGGGAAAAGGCTTTATGTCACCAACAGTTTTTATACACCGTGGGACAAGCAATTTTATCCGCAACTGGTCAGGTATGAAGCTTCTTGACAGATGGAGAAAACTCAGGAGCAAACCGGAGGCAAAGAGTTGCCCTCCTTCTCCTCCTCCTTCCATTACACTCCAGATCAATCCTGTATCTATTTTTTGAGCCTTCCTTGCTCAGGTAACCTTCCTGTCTTCTCCCTTTGCAGGGAAGGGTCAGTCATGCTCCAGATTGATGTGGACACGGAGAACGGGGGTCTCTGTGTGAATCCGGACTTCCTGGTGGATTTCGGGAAGGAGCCGTGGGGTCCCGCTCGTGCGCACGACATGCGTTACCCAGGAGGGGACTGTACTTCGGACATCTGGGTCTGAGATCTTCCTCCGAGCCCACCCTCTTGCTAAGCTAGCATTCAGGGGGCAGGAGCTTGGTAGGGAGCAACTCAAAACCAATGTTGGTTTGAAACTTAATCCCGTCGCACTGATTTCCACATATTCACTTAACCAGTGTGCTAAGTCGGGAAATAAGCTAGCTAGCTCTTCCTAGTCGACACTAGGGTGCTAAAGGGCACACTGGGGTTTATTCATTGCTTTTCTCTCCTTGCTTAGTCGCAGGTACTACAAACTCAGCTCCATTCAGAGGAAGCTCCTCTAGATTCTGTTTCCCAGGTGCAAAACTCTACCTGGGATTTAGGCCCTCTGAGGCATTTTGCTTAGGCAGACTACAGATTTTTGCAAGTCAGTCTTCTGACACAACTCTTGCAAATTGGTGGTCAGCAGAAGGATGCGAACAGAGGAATTAAGATTACCGTTGTAATAAAAAGTTTTCTTGGTAATACAGACTCTTGGGGATGACCTTTATTTCAAGTGGAGAGCACCAACCGGTTGATACCCGGGGCCCTCAAAACAGGACCTGAGTTCAAATCTTCTGTTTGCAAATGCACAGCTGGTATTATGCGTGTAAATTCACAGCTGTCACTTAAAAAAAATCACTGCACTTCTTTGAAGGGAGATCTATTGTAGCCACAGCTTTGCAGAAGAGCATCTGCACAATTCATCCTCAGCTGTGTGGAAAGCTGAACAGGAGTCAAATCGATGTCCTGAATCAGCAAATGAGGCTGTTGTTAACCATGTGAATCTGTAAAGGCCACCCATGATTCCATTGAAGAAATGCAATCCAACCTTTGTATAGGCTGCAATTTAGGTAGGAGCTGTCCCTGAGGATCTGTTTCTATGCCATTCAAAAAACACCTCGAAATACCTTCACTGTTGGAGTCTTTGTTAATTTCCTTTCCTTCCCTTCCTTTCTACGAAGGCGTTTGACCCAGCAAATGCCTGGAAATCACTTCCTTCAATATTGGTGGCTAATCTCCACAAATCCTGCAGGTATATGAAAAGTAGGGCTCCCATTATAACCCAGTCCTACCCATAAGCCACCATCAGGAATTCCAGCCCCCATAACCGCCTTCTGCGAGTGAGAATGCCACCCTGAACTGTTGAGACAAGGGGGAAAGGGGGAAGGTTAAATACAGAGATGGAAATTTAAATACAGAGATAAAATCTTCTCTGTGTGCTAATCAAGTCAATCAGGAAATAATGTTTGCATTACACGTCAGTAGCTAATTATCTCCATCTTCACCTCCCACGTTTCCTTCTCATCTCATGACTGACTTGCCACATAATCCTCAACCACGCGCCATAGGTCTGGCGAGGTGAGATGAAATCTGTAACGATGTTGTCGTCGTGATCCTTCGCTTCACTCCTGGCTCTTGAGGATGGTGTGGGGAAAGTCTATACGGGTTTTTCTTGCAATATCTTTCGAAAGCCTCTGAAGGACCAAGGCTGCCTCCTTCCTGGGGCTGAGACAGAAGGGCTGGCTCAAAGTCACCCAGTCTGGCTTCCGTGCCTAGAACAGGGTTAACATTTATGGTTTCCAGTTGTCTAATCCATTCACCATTATGCCAAACTAGCTCTCCATCCATGGCAACTTTAAGACCTGCGGATTTCAACTCCCAGAATTCCCCAGCCAGTGTGAATTCTGGTAGTTGAAGTCCACAAAAGTCTTAAAGCTGCCAAGTTTGGAGTGCCCTGATTTAGGCCATAATTAATGTTAGCTGCAGGAGGGGGATTTTCCCTCCAGATGGGGGGAAGAATGCCCTGTTCTGCCACAATGGGGCGCTCGCACACTGTGCCCAAGCAGAGTCATCCCCTGGTTGTGGGACAGCCCTGATTCAGGACTTTGAAGCAACTCCAACAGCCATCAGAGGTCACACCTTCAGCACCACATTAAGGGCAGGTGGCAAAGGAGGAGGAAGGAGAGATTCTCAGGCAGTTTGTGAGTCTGTCCATTTAAAAGCGGAATGCCAAGGGCTCTAAGGCTTCCTCTCTGTGTTCACATTTTCATTTTAAGCAGCTTAATTGATCAGCAAGACAAACAAAAGCCAAATAAGCAATCCTTTCCCCTTGGATCCTTAACCTGAAACTGGTTTGCTTTCACCTGCAGTCGCTTGAGAAGCCTTTATTTGATAAAACGACGACGGAACTTTGGAATGTGCGAGGTAACTTTTGCGTTAACCATTGCCTGGTTGGGCTTGCTCCATGAAACCTGAATCAAACTTTGAACAGTCTACGTCCGTAGAATGTGAGAGTTGGAAAAAGAGCTTTGGAGATCACTTAGATTAACTCCCTTGTCTGGCGTGGGAATGCCGAGGGATCCAACTTGGAGTCCTTTCTCCCACATTTGGGGCGATGTTACCTTGAAGTCCCATGAATGTTGGCCAGTAAAGCTCCGTTTTCTATCAAACCCAACAAAGGTCATAGACAGGAGGGTAGAAGAGTAAGGTCAGGGTTCCAGATATTATCCATTCCAATCAGTAAATCCGAGACAACCATAATCTCAAAGTGCTTTATTAAAACAGAAACTTGGCACGTCTGTGGAATTCCGAAACTAAAATTTCCTCCCAGACTTCCCACAAGACTCAACCTACCCCTAACCCTTTTCTTTCATATCATAAATCCTGTGAACCGATCACCCTTCAGCTACAATTCTTGCTACTTGCCATAATGACCTTGAAGGTTTGAGATATCTATTTTGTCTACTGAAAGCTACTCAAACAACAACAGCCGCCTTCCATCCTCCGCAGCTGTGTGGCAGCTTTGAATAAGGATCCCAAAGCTGACAGGTAAAAACTATTATGAAGAGCAGGAGCGGATAAGCAAAAGTTGTAAAATTCTAGCTAAGAAGGCAGAGCTGAAAGAAAGAGTTTGAAAGAGGAAGATGGGAGGTTCAGACTCAGTTAATCGCTTCTGAAATTCCCACAGTGGAGTCATCAAAGGCTCGGCCCAATGGCTGCCACTCAGCAACAGGAAGAGCTTAGCAGGCAATCATTCAGAGAAGGGGATGCCAATCCTAACCAGAATAAAGCTAATAAACCACAACAAAGACCCACCAAACGAAAAATGCTGAGCTCCTGAAAAGCAGCTTGCCACATTATAAAAAAGATGCTGAGGCTTGAGAAAAAGTGCAGAGAAGAGCCAACCAGGATGATGAGGGGACTGGAGACTAAGGCATATGAAGAATGGTTACAGGAACTGGGCTTGGCTAGCCTAGGGAAGGGAAGGACCAGGGGAGACAGGAGAGCCATCTTCCAATATTTGAGGGAGGGGCTGCCCCAGAAAGGAGAAAGGGGTCAAGCTATTCTCCAAGGCACCCGAAGGCCTCTTGATGCAAGAGAAACCCTGAACTACACTGAACTTTTGATGCCTACTGAAGGCTTACTTACTAACCAATAGTGAGAATCATACTGCGTTTTAAAAATCACTGCCTGGAGATAGAAGTCTATCATGCAAACAACTAAAAGTTTAGAATCGCCTTTTTTTCTTGAGATGCAACTTCTTTCTTGCCCGTGTGTGTGTGTGTGAGTGTGGTTCCTTCCGGATGGGGGCATGTCCTGTTTGGCCACAAAAGGTCACATGAAGACTGCGCGAATCCAGGATTTTAAGAATCCCTGCATCCAAAACAAATATCCCCCAGCATCAAAGTCATCAATGATCACACGCCTTCGCTCAGGGAAGGTGGAAAAAGAGGAGAAAGGACTGTTTCGTACAACGTGTGACTCTGACAGGTCTCAAATGTTTTCTGGACTTGAAAAGTGTTCACGCTTTCATTTTAAATTCTGAAATCTCTAGCACTAATCTACTGAGACAAAAGAAAGCAAAATAAGCAGTAATTTCCTTCTGAACCCTTAATAGGAAGCTCATTTGTTTTCACCTTCATTAGCTTTACAAGCCTTTATCTGATAAAGCGATGGGACTTTGAAATGGGTGAGACTGCCTTTCGTATTAAAAAAAATATTGCACCCAACCACCATTGCTCAGCTGGGCTTCCAATCAGAGTCAGCAAAGCTACAAAACCAGAAGATGTGATGAGGGTTCAGATAAACTGTTCTGAGGATGCAATCAAAAGCGTGTGAGGAGGAAGAGATGAAACGGGGCCTTTGTTTTCCTGAACAGCCCCAAAGGGTGTGCAATCAGCTGGCTGGGCTTCCCTAATAGGAGATGAAGCGAGAGCGCCTGGGGGGTTTGGGGATCAGCCCTTTTCTTAATGAATTCCTTCTGCGTGCACCCTCCGGGGGATGGGCTGGATTTGGTCAGCTCTCAGGGGTTATATAAACCAGATGCAAGCGAGCTCTGGAGAATCTCCGGTATAGAAACCAAAAGAGAGAGAAAGAAATGCTCAAGCAACGAACAAGGGATGCGGAGAAGAAACCTCCGAAGACGCCAGGCAAAGGTTAGAAGTCAATCCATCTGCAAGAGACCTGACTTTTCCCCAATGCCACCTGTCCACAACCTTCCTTAAAACGCCCACCTCTCCTTGATCGCTCACGATGCCAAGAAGCTAAATCTCTTTCTCTTTCTTAAAGAGGGAGGAGAATGCTGCTACCCAGGCCCTGGATATCCAACGCCCTTGGACGCCATGAGAGGTAAGAAGGGCCGGTCCTTTCCTCTTCCGGACAGCCGAGCGGGGAAATGGAGGTTGAGTCCGGGCAGAGCTGCAGAGATGAGGTGTGAGCTCACACCTAGTATTAAGCCACCTCGTTGGAGGCATGGGGTGTGGAATGAGCTTAGTTGAGCCAATCAAGACTCTTTACCCATGATTCAATCCATCGCACAAGTGATGGAACCAACTTGAACAGGATGGACAAATGTAAGTCTAGCAAGTTGTAGCTCAAACAAAACCATTTTACGGTTCAGGCCCAGGATCTCAAAATGTGGATTTGTCTTTTCTCCAGGACCCCGAGAGAGGCTGATATACGTGACTTGCGTCTTAACTGGCACGGAGACCCAGATGCCGGATTATCTTGCCACAGTGGATGTTGATCCTGAATCTCCCACTTTTTGCCAAGTATGAAGTTACTTAGTTCTCTGGGAAAAAGTTTATGCTTGTTCAGTTTCCTTTTCCTTGGGCCTCTGTTTAAGGCCTTGCATTCCAACTCAGGATGGGATGGAAGATAAACATTGCTTTGTAATCTCCAAATAGATATAAGGTTTAAAAAATGTTTCAGAAGTGCAAGGAGAGGAGCTGAAGTCAGAGGCAGCTTTCACTCCCTCTTAGCAACCTAGGAAATCACTTAAAGACGGAAACCGGAGGTGTTGGAATTAAAGTAATTTAGGAAAATTGTTACTTAGTTCACTTAATAACCACTTCACTCATTGACCAGGTTTCCAGTCGCAATTGTTACTGCAATTGGAGGACAGTCTGCATTATTTACAACTTGTTCAGATTTATTTTCAATTTCTAAGATACTCTTTACGAATGACTAGAGTAATAAAATCAAGGTGGGAACAATTTACTTTAATCCAACTAAGGGAATCCTTTGTTCTCAGCGTGTTTCTAGTCATTCTGTTCCTTGATGTCTAATGAGTATCCTCAGGGAGATCTGCCTTTTTTTCACATGTATGTGTCAGCGGAGTCATGGTCAGGTACACCTATGCCCAGACACCTTAACTAAGTGCAGTTGAGGCTGGAACCATCATGTAAGAGCTGAGGGAAGCCTAACGGATCATTAGCTGGTACCGCAGACTCCTATGTTATAATGCACTAAGCTTGCTCACAATCCACAAAGGAAGCAGGCGATGTTCAGACGCCGGCTCTTGCAATTAGAGATGCGAGGACTCCAGCTCCTTGCCTCAACGCGTCTGCAACTCCCGATGCCAATGGTTGGCATGGTGGAGCACTTTTGCTCCGAGGGTACATAAAAGATTGGGAAGGGGAGGAAAATGCTACATGTTTTAGAAGGTGCCCAACGGTTGGTGAAGTTCTGCTTGCCGGTTGTAAGTGGGAGAAACACTGCACTGTGCCAGCAACGATCCATAACCAAAGCAGAACACACTTTTCTAACAAGTTTCAAACTAGTTAGAAAGTTAGAACAAACTAGTTCCATTCCACAAGTGATGTTCCGCATCCAAAGACATATCGCAAATCGCAAACTCTTGGGAATCACATGGAGAAGCCCAACTGCAGGCGACGAGAAAAATAATGCTTGTTTCATCTCTACCACCCCAATCTTTCCCCACCAGGTTATTCACCGTCTGCAAATGCCCTGCATTAATGATGAGCTTATCTACACGGGCTGGAATACTGGTAGCAGCTGCTTTGGAGACTCCACCAAGAAACGCAACCGGCTGGTCCTTCCAAGTTTCCAATCTTCGCGGATTTATATTGTGGATACTGGGACGGACCCCCAAGCTCCCTGCATGTTTAAAGTAGGCCACCCACCCAGAGAGGGTGCAAGTCAGGGAATTGGGTTTGGAAGGGTTCCCCAAAGGCCCCTGGGTTGTGGAGCTGAGCCTAAGGGACTTCAAAGCTGTGAGCACAACACCCCCCCCCCGACCTTGCCTTTGGTTTGCCCCAACTTCTTTATAAGTGATTGAAGCCAAAGTCCCTTTTCCCAGGGGCTCTGGAGTTTTTTAGACAAACAGCATTTTGCAGAGGTGTAAAGACGGAGAACAAAATGGCAATGCAAGAGTTTTTATTTATTTTTTCTCCCCCTCTCCAACCCTGACAGGTTATTGAACCTCAGGAGGTCTTCTGTAAAACCAATATGGCTTTACTACATAGCCCACAATTTTTGCCCGCCGGAGATGTTGTGATCAGCGCCTTAGGGGACCTGTACGGCAACGGAAAAGGTATCACTGGGCGACTTTCTCTTCCTTTCAGCCAACACTTCCTGGGAGTCACCTACATCTGTTTGAATTAATTTGCATTCTCCCCGCACACCCCAATCGCAGGCGGATTTGTTGTTGTGGACGCGGAAACATGGGACCTGAAAGGCACCTGGAATCCCCCTGGGGACGCGGCTCCACAAGGATGTGATTTCTCGTACAAACCAAGGCACAACATCTTAGTCAGCACTGAGTCTGGAGTCCCCAAGTTCTTTGTGAATGGGTTCAACCTTGAAGATCTGAAGAAAGGTGAGAGGCCAGAGAACGAAGTGAACTTATGGCACCATTGGAATTCAAAATCCAGAAGGTCTGCACGCTAACCTAGGGTGGGGCCCAAGACTCTCTGAGGAAATGGGGTGGCCATCTCGCCAATCCTCTTGTCCATCCAAAGCTAGCCCTTCCCCAAGAGGTGGCATCTCAGCTTCTGCTTGGAGGCTTCCAACACAAGGCAGGCCACCAGTCTTCTAAGGCAGGGGTCACCAACCTTGGCCCCTTTAAGACTGGTGGACTTCAACTCCCAGAGTTCCTCAGCCAGCAAAGCTGGCTGAGG